TGAACAATTAGACATGCAACAAGTGGAGTCCAAAAGTCTACGTGGAAAATTCAGGATTTAAAACTGGATTTAAATCTGGTAATAAACCGAAAGCTTTAGGATTTAAAAAAAATGTAAAAGTCACTAATCAAGTGAAATTGTGACACTTTGTACAGCTGGTCAGATGTTCTTCCATTAATGTTCTCAAATGCTGTTTGGGCTTTAAAGGAATATTTCACCCAAAAATTAACATTTGAATCAATCATTATCACGGTTCATGAAAAATATTTTATTTTCATATTTTTTGCTCTACCTAACCTGTTTTTGTAAAAACAAAGTGCATTTGAAAACATGCACAACCTACATTCATCATAATTTTGATACAGAAATTAAATCCCATTTTTCTAATTGGCTGAAGGGCCAAATTCCTAAAGGTATATTAAAGGAATATTTCACTCAAAAATGAAAATTTGCTGATAACTTTAGTCATCCTCAAGCCATCCAAGATGCAGATGAGTTTGTTTCTTCATTGGAACAGATAATATGCACAGATCAAGCACTGTTTAGAGGCGAAAACAATCCAAAACATTTTTGAACAAATTTATCTTGATGTGAGAGGACAACACTGAAACGAGCGTTATTATGGACGTATTATTTTGGTTAGAAGTGCTGAAATAATGGATTTGTTTATTACAAACTGGCAGATTTTCACTTTACAAGACATTCATTGATGGACTGGAGTCATGTGGATTAATGTGATGTTTTTATGAACTGTTTGGACTCTCATTCTGACGGCACCCATTCACTGCAGAGGATTCATTGGTGAGAAAGTGATGCAATGCTAAATTTCTCCAAATCTGTTCCGATTGGATTGGATAACCTGACGTTTTTCAACAAATTTTCATTTTTAGGGTTAACTATTCCTTTAAAGACTTACTAAAGACAAAACAGGACAAGTAAAGCCATCTGTCCTTGTATCTGCAAGACCAAGATCATGATTTAAATCAGCTGCCCAAATAAATCTGTTCTCCAAATTGTTTCGAGTGAAACTGGGCACCCATGAGAGCGAAGCACATGACAGATGTTCACGCAGGCCAGTTGAACCGGGTGCTCTGCCCTTTCGGTAGCCAACACAATTAGGCTTTCTCTGTCATTCTGCCCACTGGCTACGCATATGCCAAGCACTCACAGTCCAGAGACAATTAGAGTATCGGCTGCTTCTAAAAGACTGAAACTGGGATTATGTTGCTCTGTATTGTTAATAGGCTCTACTGGATTATCCTGCTGTTGAGAGACATAGTAGAAAGTCTTATTTGCTTTCACTGCTTGGACATGGTGTACATTTTAATGCAGTTTTGGAAGTGAGCTGTTGTATTCAACTGGGGCCTTTTTAAACATTATGTACACCTTTGGCAAAAAGTAGCCACCGAGTATTTCTAGCACACTAAACAGGATGGCACCTACATTAAGGGCCATGGCGAAGCTCCCTCTGGAAATGCAGTAAGCTGTGAAGAACGTGATCCAAGAAATCATATATATCATGAGACTAAATGTAATGCATTTGGCCTCATTATAATTGGCCGGCAGATCTTTTCCCATGTAGCTCAGGCAGAAACAAATTAAGCTCAACACACACACACAAAAATGAGCCCCGAGAGACAGAGTCTTACTGCACTCCAGAATAATGCTGTCACTGTAGAAGTCATAGTCCCGAGATGGAAAGGGAGGGTCGAGGAGCATGCGAAGAAGAGAGATGAAGACCTCCACCACTGTCGTGATGAAGATGAACATCTCAGGGCCTCGATTCTTAGCCCAGGTCTCATAGGATCTTGGTAGCTTGGAGGACCACTTAAATATACAAACCACCTGAAAAGAGAGAGATTTGTGTCATATATGAGAACTGATGAGGATGAAAGTTATTTATTAAGAATGCACAATATAGATATATCATATTAGTTATTGGCAAACATTGGATATTTAATTGCTCATGCTCATTTCCCCTATTTTCACCATTAGATTACCTTTGTTGTCAAATAACACTCCCTTAAATGTAATCTTTAAAAATACCAATAATTTAATAACTCTGTCATCTCAAAATGAATATCCATTTTTCACACTGCACATTATAATGTTGTAATGCCTAAATTCACTTAGCATTTAAAACCACTGATTTTAGTTTTTGGTTATAACGTGAAAAATTATTACTGTATTTTACTACTGTTTATCCCTAATATTTAAGATAACCTTGATCACAATGAGCATAAGCAAATATTATTTTCTTATTTTTGAACAGTACATAAACCGTTTCACCTAGAGTTATTTTATTATTGTTTAAATACTATTATAGTATTAATTTATATTTTCAGTTTTCATAAAATTTTGGTAATTTGATGTGCTCTTGACAAGACTTGAATTTTTAAAAATATTTCTATTAACTTCTATTTTCATTTCAGTTTTAGTCATTTTAGTACTTCAACTTACTTTATTTCAGTTATTAGCCATAGCAACATTTCTAATTTTCATTTTTCATCTAATATTTATATTTTACTTTATTTCAATGAATAAAAATAAATTTTAACATTTTAATCAATTTAGTTTTCATTAACACTGGTTTCACCAACTATAAATCTCACAAACATCTTATTGAAAAATGTTTTGCTTGAAAAGCTATCTTTCATTTGTTAAATATTTTGTTATATAACGTACAGCTATTAACCTCTTAATAGATATTAATCTCTACTACATTGTCAAATAGAGAGCTCTATACACCTGAAAAGAGCGCACGGTCGCACAGACGGTGAAGCTGATGAAGAGGGGCTGTTTGAGGAGGCAGCCGATGTGGGAGGGTCTGCTGAAGTGGCACAGCGTGCTGCAGGAGGCCACGGCCAGTATCAGCAGACAGGTCTTCCCTCCGGCCGACTTCACCACAGGGGTACTGAGGTTGAACAGGAAGATGACAGCCGTACCAAGGGTGAGAAACAGGGTCACCCCCAGGTATATGAGCAGGGCTGTAGGGAGCGGAGCGCCCCACGGCAGGTACAGCTCGGCTCTCTTCTTACATGTCTCACTCTCTGCTTCAGACCAGTAGTCTCTGGCACACGCCTGGCAGAAAGTGTAACCTATGAGAACATATGAAGTCAAGTTAGTATAAGATGCATTTAAAATGTTTCATAATGAGGCTACATTACATAATTTAAAGAGATAGTTCACCTAAAAATATAAATTCTGTCATTAATTACTCACCCTCATGTCGTTCCAAATAGGGTCACAAAGCTCTCGGATTTCATCAAAAATAACTTAATTTGGGTTCCGAAGATGAACGAAGGTCTTAGGGGTCTTGGAACGACATGAGGGTGAGTATGGAGGGTGAGGATAAAGAAAGCGTGCCATCTGCTGGATATACTGTGTACAACAGCCTACGAGTTTCCTCCATTGAACAACCTTATGCACTAGCACTTTATAATTCTATAATATTTGGAGTGTTTTCGAACTTGTTTTGTTGAGGAAGGTGGCAGCAGGGCATGCCATGCAGTCAAAGCAACACTTATGCTGTCCGGTCATGAGCTTTCTGTGTCCGTAAGGACACTCTGGAGAACACTGACTCAGGAACCTAGACAGAATAATAATAATAATTATTATTATTACTATTTCTGGCACCATATTTGAATTATTTCCCTTCTTTATTACATTAATAAAATTTTTATCATAATTATTATTATTTTATTATTCATTTATTTTTGTCACTGCTTTTGTTGTGTAGATACTGATGCAAATGGAAAGCTATTTGGAAGCAAGTACACTTCAAAAGTTTGGGACAGTAATATTTGTAATGTTTTT